GTTGACAATATTTGCTGATAAGACAACAAGGTTTCTGGACATAATTACTGCCAATAACAAACGTTGACAATATTTGCTGATAAGACAACAAGATTTCTGGACATAATTACTGCCAATAACAAACGTTGACAATAGTTGTTGATAAGACAACAAGGTTTCTGAAGATAATCACCGCCAATAACAAACCTTGACAACAGTTGCTGATAAGACAACAAGATTTCTGGACATAATTACTGCCAATAACAAACGTTGACAATAGTTGCTGTCAATAACAAACGTTGACAATAGTTGCTGATAAGACAACAAGATTTCTGGACATAATCACCGCCAATAACAAACCTTGACAACAGTTGCTGATAAGACAACAAGATTTCTGGACATAATTACTGTCAATAACAAACGTTGACAATAGTTGCTGATAAGACAACAAGATTTCTGGACATAATTACTGCCAATAACAAACGTTGACAATAGTTGCCATATAACGCACAAAAACTGACGTCTGTTGCCGATGAGAAACTTTTATAATGATATCGAGACAAGTAGTTTGTGTTACACAAATTTTGTCCTGATCAGGTATAGAAATCACTCCGAAAACGAAAAAAAAAACACGATAATTTTCATAGGATTAGAATAAAAAAAAAATCCTACTTGCTTCTTCTATCTGGATTTTGTAAGGACTTATTCACCCCATGACTCTGACCTTCGTACTGGATATATTAAAGAAGTTTAAAAGATCAATAGAAGGCCCGCCAGAACAGCGATATTCGATTTCATTATAATGACTTCCGCTCCTAAAGAAGGTTCTATTTTAACGAGATTTGCTGGTTTACGTTTGAACTCACCTAGTATTTTATGTACACGTGGCGTGTCCGGAACTGATATTATTAATCTTCGCTAGAGACAGAAAAACAAGTTTTACGAAGACGACGACTCCATTTTCCGGGTGAAATTGGTAGTTTCAAAAATTCTTAAAATCCTACCGTTTCGTTTCGAGAGTTCCCCATTGCTAATTATTTTTAAAACGGAAGATTCTGAAACTCTCCTTCGACCTTATTTTTATTGTTCATTTTAATTAAATTTTATTTATTAAATCTGATTCGATTAGGTCGCGATAAGGCGGTTTAATTAAGAGATTTACTGTTTACCTACAGTTTCAACTTTTTTTATTTGTTTGTTGCTAGAACAATGTTGCTCCTCAGTAGCACAGCGGAATGTCTGCGGACTTACGACGCTAGAATCCGGGTTTCGATACCTGTGGTGGGCAGAGCACAGATAGCCCATTGTGTAGCTTTGTGCTTAATTCCAAACAAACAAAGAAGAACAATGCTACGCCATGATCTATCTGTGCTGTGCCCACTACAGGTGTCCCAGTCCAGTTTTTAGACGTTTAAAATAAATTTGTTTGTTTTTTACTACAAGTTATATTAGAATGAGCGCTATCGCGAAATTTCATGTGTACAGTTTTTATTTTGTATTAGTTATTTTTTAAATTTTATGTTTCATAAACCTTTATTTCCGATATTTTCAGAACGAAGCTCCATCTAGTGGTCATATATTTACATAGATCATGTGTACGAATATAAAATATGGAAAAATGAAGAATTTATTGGTCTGAATTACTTAAACAACTCCGTAAGCAAGGAAAGACAAGTTTCAGTTCAAAAGAATGAAGAAAAATAATAAAAGAAATTATAATTTTTATTCCAACATTCTGCACGACAGACAGATTAAATACAAAGTGCTTAAAAAAAAACCCGCCAGATTTAATATCTCGAGTGCCGAACGTAAATAACGATATTTTTACCCAAACAAGTGACAGAGTAGACAATCATAACCCCGGAATAACATGGATGACCTGGTCCGAACCGCAGTAACTCCAGGTAACTCCTTCTATGACAACTATCTACAAAACTCAGAAGAAAATAGGCTTATCGAAAATAGTTTTCTAAAAAGTTCCTTAATCTTCGAAGTCGATAAACCTTCGAACGAAGCTCCTAAATTTCATAGACACTCTGTAACAGACTCAATGATTAACACAAGGGGCATAAGGTCAGATGCCTGGAGTTTCTCTACTGGCCGAGGGAAGGTGACTTTTCACTGTATGTGGACAGCTTGTAAAGCACTGACCATTGGGATCCTGCTTATATTGCTAGGGTCTGGGATGGCTGTTGTGGGCTTTTATTCGACTCATGCCGACATGGACAGAAAAGCAAATTCGACGAATTTTCTGGAAAATTTTAGCAGATCTTATAAACTAACTAGTATGACGTACATAGGTCCGGCGGTCATGGGTGTCGGAGGATTTATAATTGTTGCCACCTGTGTGTTGCTTTTAGAAGCTCGTGACGCAGCAACCAAAGTGATTCCCATCTGGTTGTGGCCAACTCACGATCATAAGATTTTGGCAGTGAGCAAGAATACAACGTTGTGGGAAGTATTTCATGCGCAGCCGCAGAATGTCTCAGAGAGAAGTAAGGAATCTATCAACCCTTCCAGTTCTACTAAAGGGGGCATTGATCCCTCACAATTCAGTGGAAATATCCATGCGTATCACTGTAGATGTCCATTTCAATGTAGTCTTACGTCAAAGGTGAAAATGTCCAGTTATGATATCTCAAGTAAGCATCAACTACAGATATTTCATCCACTGTGTTCTAACCGTCAGAATCCAGGTGGCTCTTTAGACCGATCATCTATTATGGACAGTCCAAGGACCACATCAGCTTACCATGACAGTCGGTGCAAGTACAACAGTAATCGGGTGAAACACAATAAAACATATGTGTTTAAAAGCTCTTCAGAACCAACTCTAAACACAGCCAACCTTGCCAAAGAAAGAGTTTCAGCTTCGACAGTACTGGAACCCCTTCAGAAGAACAAGTCCAGTTATTCCGGAAACACAATCCCCCTAGCGGTCAAAGAATACAACTTACAAAACAAACCTTTAGGTAATGTTTATCGTCCAATTGTCAACTACCACGTGTATCATGCAGGCAATATAAAATCGTCCAGAACAATGTCGAATGAAAGTGTTCCTATTGTGCCAAAAGATTCACTGGCTTCCCTCCATGTTTACAATACATTTCGAAAACCCGACAGTTTCAGAAGATCACCTACTTACACCACTAATCATTCACGACCAATAGAAGCAAAGAGATGCGGTAAAATATGGCGAGAAGAGACTGGAGAAACCCGAAGAATACACAAGAAAACCATATTAACAGACGTCCCTCATAGTACTGAAAGATCATACTGGAAGAAACACGTGGCTCACAACAAAGCAGTATTAATAGACGTCCCTTGTAGCACTGAAAGGTTAAATTGGAAGAAAGACATGGTTCACAAGAAAACAATCTTAACAGGCGTCCCTTGTATCTCTGAAAGATTAAACTGGCAGAAACACACGGCTCACAAGAAAACATTATTAACAGGCGTACCATGTAGTACTGAAAGATTATATTGGAAGAACAACATGGCTCACAAGAAAACAATATTAACAGACGTCCCTTGTAGTAGTGAAAGATTATATTGGAAGAACAACATGGCCCACAAGAAAACAATATTAACAGACGTCCCTTGTAGTAGTGAAAGATTATATTGGAAGAACAACATGGCCCACAAGAAAACAATATTAACAGACGTACCATGTAGTACTGAAAGATTATACTGGAAGTCGTCTGGGAGGCACATTGTTAAAACATTATCAGGCGGAAGTTCAGTATCACCGGGCTCTGATCAAGAGGAAGAGCCAAAAAGCCAGTCGACGTCCACCGAACATTTGTTTCCGCGGCAGAAAAAAAAGTCTCTGTTATCTTCAAGTTTACTTAGTAGGTTTACCAAGAGGTCATAACTTTCATGAATCTCGTTAAAGTTTTTCTGAGCTGCTGACAGGCCTTTCTTTACATGTACTGTTTATTAAATTATTACTTAGTGGAACCTATTGTCCTGAACATGAAGTAAGCTTTGAAAACATTTTATTTGTCAACCAATAAAAAAGTTCCTTTTGGGGTTTGACAATAAATAATTTACAATTACTGACTGGGATCAGTGTTCAACTGATGACTTGACGTCAATGAACAAAAATGAATCGGAACAACTAGAAGTAGTGGTTGGTGAACGGACTACACGAGCTTTGTGTGACCTCTTTGATATTACCGTGTCGTGCAGTTTCAAGATGACGGTTACTATGACAACGAAAATAAACAACGCCTGCTTGCTTGCTCAATAAGATTGTGCGTGATAAACGGAATCAAAATGAGACGGTTTGTGTTGCTGCTGATCTGCCTTATAGTATTTAAGCAGCGCAGGAGCAAACTTCTTTAAACAAGACAACGTGATGTCATCTTCCCTTAACACCCCTCCCCCTGGACAATTCGGGAATATACAGGATACTCAGTTCAACATCTCGTCAACCGGACAATGAGACGTCCTCTTCTGGAAACTCTATCCTGAATATTCTCTCTCTCTTTTAATAATTCAGGAAGCAGAGTGGAATAACACGTTAACAAAACATAATGAAATCTTCTTTGAACTTCTCCAATACATCCTCGCTCTTGGATATTGAGCCATACTCAACAGTACTACCAGCTCTAATGCCAGAACCTCAAAGTTTATCTATAAAGACATCCAGTGGAACTTAATCAAACAAATTATTAATTGTATTAGCATTGGTTATGTCTGTGTGTATGTGTGTGTTTAGCTGAAATGTGTATATTTTTATTTTTTGGGAATCTCGTTTTTTGTGGGCCACAAACTGGGGACCTTTAAATGACTCTTGACCTTAGTTCGTATATACTGAATTGTGTTTTACTCAGTGAACAAGCCATAGTCGCGTTGCTTCGAATTCGGAACGAAATGAGCATGCGCGTATTCGGATTTTCCAATCAGCACGTGAACCTCCCGTGCCCGATAATGTTCTTCTTTGTTAAACTTACATGTTTTAGACCTCGTTTCTGAGAGATTGGGAGGAAATGTGTGTAATTTAAAAGTACCAAAGTCAAATTGTCTTCTTATAACTGACGTGCCAAATGAAAGAATTTTCTAGAAGAAGATGCTTAATGAGATGTACTCGATGTCGAACTTATCCAATTAACCCTTTTTGAAAATCTAGCAGAAGATGCTTCATGAGATGTACTCGATGTCGAACTTATCCAACTAACCCTTTTTCAAAAGCTAGCAGAAGATGCTTCATGGGATGTACTCGATGTCGAACTTATCCAACTAACCCTTTTTCAAAAGCGAGCAGAAGATGCTTTATGGGATGTACTTGATGTCGAACTTATCCAATTAACCCTTTTTCAAAAGCTAGCAGAAGATGCTTCATGGGATGTACTTGATGTCGAACTTATCCAATT